GTTCTGCACTGATCCCACTAGGATCCTTTTACTAAACTGGTTCATTATCTGTGGGAGAATCTCTGCGAAGTTTGCAACTGGCATAATTTTTCAGGAGGACTTGCTCCCCTAGATGCTTATTCTATCTTTAATGTTTTCAATCAATTTATCTAGAATAGATTTTAATCTAAGTGAAATGTAGGTACCTAGATATCCCCTGGATCCCTTTTAAAAAATTGGCATTACACTGGGCATTCTCCAGTGTTTTGGTATAGGGGCTGATTTTAAGGATATGTTGCACTTTTGTAAGAAAGTCGAAAATTTCATATTGAAGCTTCTTAAAACAGAAGGATAGATACCATTTGGTGACTTATTAACTTTCAGTTTGTCAATAAGGTTGAGAATTTCCTCTTTTGTTACCACTATCTGCCTTAATTTCTCTTCCACTTTAAATCTGATGGGACTGTGGTTATGGTTTCCAATTGGCTGAACATTTATATCTTGTACTAGGTCGTGGGCAACCCCTTTTAGGATTAAATCCAGGATTGCCTCCATTCTGGTCAGTTCCATGACCGACTGTTCTACAGCACAGTCATTTAGAACAACAAGAAATTTAATCTCCTTGTCAGAACTGGAATACACATTAGTCTCATAACATGAGGGTAATTGAAGTCGCCCATTATTACAGCACTTCTGAATGCTGAGGCCACCCTGATTTCATTCTCCATCTCAAGATCATCCTGAGCATCCTGATTTGATGGACAATAGTATGCTTCTAGGACTAAAATATTATTATTATTATTATTATTATTATTATTATTATTATAACATTTCTATGCCGCCCCTTGCCGAAACCTCGGGGCGGCTTACAACACGATAAAATACAATGAAATACAATAGCACATAATAAATTACCATTAATTACAAAATACAAAAAATACATTGATTTACAAGTATAAGATTAAAATTATCAGTATAAATTAAGTAAATAAAAATATAGGAGGAGAAAGAGAAGGAAGAAGAAGTTGAAGAAGTTGTTAGTTTTGGAGACAGTTTTGGACAAATTAGTTTTGGAGACAGTTATTGTCATCCAGAGTGCTTCTCTGAAAGTGTCTGCATCTTTAGATTTTTCAAGTTTGCCGGTCTTTCTGTCCTCTTTGACATACTGAGCAGCACCTCCTGCAGTACGCTGTTGCCTATCCTTCCAGTAGTGATGTCCAGAGGTGACTGCATTCCATTGGTTCTCTTCATTCCATCGGTTCTCTTCATTCCATCAGGATTCCAAAATACTCAGAATATGTAGGTCTGTTCTGAAGGGCTGCAGAACCCTTCGGAACAACGAGGGTGCTACACTGTGGGAGTACAGGAAGGTTTTGGAGATTTCTTTATTTAGTTAGTTTGTATGTTGCTCCATTAGCCATAGGAACTCTGGATGGTTCACAACATGATTAAAGCAATACAGTCAGTCATAACACAAAAGATTCCGGTGGCCCTGTCCAGGCTTCAATACCTTGGCATTTTAGTAAAGAAGAAATTAAATAAACGATAGGAAGTCAACTTCAGCAAGGATTAATAGGGACATCAGGCACCAGAGACTGATGAAACTCTCCATAATGGATAGATGCTAGCCATCAAAATGATAGCTCTCTCTTGCCTGGTGTTCTCTTTTGAAAACTTCCTGTTGGTACATCTCCAAAACATTTACATGAATGGCAGAAAACTATTTATTTATTTATTTATGGAACTTCTATGCCTCCCCATTCACCAAAGCCTCGGGGCGGCTCACAAACATAAATAAATAACATCCTATAAAACAATATAATTTAACAGTATAAATTAAGTCGCCCTGGCCAAAGAGTAAAATAAATAAATAATATTAACAATTAAAATAACATTTGAATAAAAAGGTCTTCGCCTGGTGCCGAAAAACAAATAACGACGGCGCCAGGCGGACCTCTCTTTTGGAGCGCATTCCATAGATTGGGCGCCACCGCAGAGAAAGCCCTCCTCTGAGTACTCACCCTCCTCATTTCCTTCACGGAGGGTTCCCGGAGAAGGGCCTCTCCCGCTGATCAGAAGGGGTGGGCGGGCATGTATGGACGTAAGCGCTCCTTCAGGTAACCAGGACCCAAGCCGTTACCCAAGCCATTACCCCTTTATTTTTGCTGATTAATGCCCAAGAATCAGGGCTCTTTTACTCTATCTACATGTTCAACACAGTGGGGGGAATACCCATTTGCTTATTTACATATGTTACATACCTTAAAAACAGGAGATACGTAAACTGTTTCATTTACACTAGCTTAATCCCCTTGATTTCATTTATATTAAGGCACTTGAAATTGCTTAACGAACAGTCTGTGATTAGCCTTGGACTGGATTTTTACTTAAAAGAGAGGACCTCACTTACCCGCTGAGTTACCAGCCTAGAGAAAATCTGTTATCCCTACATTGTTGTTTTCTGATCATGATGATATCAACACACTGAGTCATAAAGCATACCTAAGCACAAGTGCAGCAGTATTAATAATGTGCACGACATTTTAATGATGACAACTTTAAATTATCCTGCCCATCTGTACATGTGCTTTCCATTAATCAAAAAGCATGGATGAGTGCTGATGTGAACATGAGCATGGCTGCATGCTCAAGCAACACACAAAATAAAAATCACCCTGAGGTCCAGTGCATACAGCTATACATGTGCTGAACTGAGAGGCAAAAAGGAATCAATCTTGAAAAAAAGAAACAGAGGGCAGCCGCAAGACTGAATTGCACGTTTGTGGTAGTCTTTGCATATATCAGAAGTCCAAGCTGGCGAAATTGCAAAAAGCAAACATTTTGGTGCCATTCTGTGATCAGGATACCACAGTGCTCCAGTTACAGAATGCCTCCCTCAAAGACTTGCTGGTGCCAACAACGGGATGCAATCTTTTCAATGTCCAGCAAAAGCTTCCTTGTTTAACCCAAATATTATACATTTGAATGTGGTTCAAGCATTCAATCCTATGCAAATTTAGGCATAATCCTAGACCCAAGAAAAATCACTTAGAATTCCCAATTTGCTATGCTGGCTGGAGCAAGCTGGGAATTGTAGGCCTTGCGTGGGATTGTGCCCTTATTTTTGCATTTGTATTATGAAAACTTGGTTCAAAGCTCTGAGATCCAAATAGTGGGAATATACTATCAGGTTATGTCTAACTTATAGTGATCCTGTGAATGAAAGACATCCACAATATCCTACCCATATGTTTAAAATGTACAAATACAAATAAATAAATAATTTACTAGAACAATTTATTCCACATGGAAATCTGGAATTTCAGATGCTTTTCTAGCATTTTATAAATTAAGTTTTTGCATATAAAAACTAGCAGGGGTGGCTGAACGTGCTCAACAGAAGAGCCTCATATGGTAAATGTCAGATGTCTAAGAACCGCAAGTGGGCACCCACAGGTGGCAAGCCATGAGCCACAAAATAAACTCAAGGAGCTGCATGTGGCTCCAGAGCCTTGGTTTGGCCAACCCTGAACTATGGGATTAATTTAAGGAGTAGGCATTACTCCTGATTAGCAGGGATTAGGAATCATAAATGAATTAAATAATAAATGAGCAATAATAATGTAACATAAAGAAACGATCAGTAATATATTTTTCTTAGGCGTATGGAATTATTTTGGAATGGACCGTTAAAACATGGTTTCCTTTTTTAAAAAATCTGTGTTAGAAATGGCAGGTCTTTTAAATTGTCGGCAATTTGCTTCTATCCTTGTTCCACGTCGAACGTGGGAATGGTGGGAGTCACAGCCCAATACAACTGGGAGGTTAGGCTTAGGGAAGGTTGAAAGGCACTTGTAAAGCCTGGTGGCGAGCTATGAATTATATCAACCTTGCTTTATATGCTCCTGTATGTGGTGCTACACTTGCATTTAAAAAAAAATACAAGCTTTTTGACTGTTCTTTGCAATAGTCTCTTATGTCAGTCTCTTTGCAGCTCTGGGCTCAAAGTGGAAAATGTCCATACAAATTGGTTAAATGTGTATGATTTCAGATTAAATGAGTTTGTTTGCACATCAGGACAGCCCACTGTGGGTTAATTTATCTGCAGGGGCTGTCATGTTGAGCTGGGAGTCCAGGTTTGCACAGCACTCTAAAACAAACCATGGCTAATTTGAAGGTTGTCTAGCATCCAGACAAGCCCTGCTGTCCAAGTTTGTATAACATAACATGTCATATTAAGCTGGATACCAACAAGTGCCATGCAAAAACAGTGTAACATGGCCCAGGTTTCCAGTGGTGGGGGAAAACTTCACCAGTTGAACATCTCCCAGCCAGGTGGCTAATAACGGCCCTGGAAGTCCAAATATTCCCATGGCTAAGGAACGCTTACTGGATGCATGGCAAACAGAAATTCGCTTTTCCTTCACTGAGATGAGGGAAGCTTCCTCTGCTTGATGGAAAGGAAGCAGGTGTCCTGCCAGGGGGAAGGAGCAAAAAGTGGTAACCTGGGCTCTTTTAAAAATCCCTTAGCAAGCAGAGTGAGGCAGCAACAACCTTTGGGATGAAAGGGCAGCACATTATTAGGTAATTAATACCTAGGTAATTAGGCTTGCATTTTTATTGCCAGGGAAGAGCATATTCTGCTTCCAGTGGCAAAGCAACTTGGCTGGCCTTAGGTGGTATCGATTCATTGGGAGGTGGGGTGCCGCTTATTACTGTGCCTTAGCCAGCAGATTCTCTTGGCGTGGCCCCGCAAATCTTCCCCATCGTAAAGACGAGCGTACGTGCAGAGCAGCTGGCGCGGCGTCACATATAAAGTCCAGCGACAGGGCGCTCGACACTCCTTGCGATCCCCCCCGGGCAGAGTACGCACACCCGCGGCTCGGCTCCCTCTGTCCTCTGGAGGCGCAGCGCCCGGATCCAGCAAGCCCGCCCGACAGCCAGCCCTTCGCTCAGGGTTAAAGTCGGGGCAGCTACCTCGCCTCGCCGGCTCGCGCAGGCGCTCGACCTCCGCCTTCGCCATGGGTCGCTACACGGGCCAGACGTGCCGCCTGATCTTCATGCTGGTGCTGACCGCCGGCTTCTTCGTGGCCGAGCTGGTGTCGGGGTCGATGGGCAACTCGATCGCGCTGGTGTCCGACTCGTTCAACATGCTCTCGGACCTGATCGCGCTGAGCGTGGGCCTCGGCACCGGGCGCATGGCGCGCCGCCGCGGCCGCCCGGTCAGCCCCACCGCCTCCTTCGGGCACGGGCGCGCCGAGGTGGTGGGCGCCCTCAGCAACGCCGTCTTCCTGGCGGCGCTCAACTTCACCATCCTGGTGGAGGCGCTGCAGCGGCTGGCCGGCCCCGAGGCCATCAGCGACGCCTTCCTCGTCCTCGTGGTGGGCGCGCTCGGCCTCGCCGTCAACATCGTGGGGCTCCTCGTCTTCCAGGAGTGGCCCTGCTGCGGCGGGAGCAGCAGCCCCGCGGCCTCACCTCCGCCCCCGCCCGGCCATCCCGTCGACGGCCAGCTCCACGCCGCCCCCGGCTCAGCCGCCCTCGACGGCGCCGCGGCAGCCACCGGCCCCCTCGAGCAAGTGGAAGTCGAGATTCAAAGCACTGACGTAGCAGGTGCCCCTCGGTTTCCTCTTCGCCGCCAGCCCTTTTCCTCCTCTTGTCCCCTATTTCCTACATCTCTTCCCCCTCTTCACTGCTTCCTTCCTTCCTCCTTGCCCTTTGGCCTTAATTTGTGCTTTCATTTCTCCCTAAAGCTTCTCATTTCCCCCCACCTTCTCTTGTCCGTTAGAGATTCTCCGCATCCTTCTACATCGTTTTTTTCCTACGTTTCCTTAAATTTGGTTTAAATTGAGTATTTTCTTCATAATTCTTATTTATCTATTTATTTCTATTTGCCATCGTACGCCCTCCTGAAGACATTTATTTCCCATGGAAAACTGAATATTGTCCACTATACCTTATTTAGCACTATAGCTAAATAAGTGATTTATTACTTATTTCTATTGCTAATTTATTTCTATTTATTCCTAACTCTGTGATTTTTCAGATTCCCTGTTTCTGCTTTTTTTTTTCAGTATTCTCTTTCCATCATTATTTCTGTAGCTTGCATTGTGTTTAATGTTTTTAATCACACATTTATTTATTTATTAGATTTTTCTCCTGCATCATTAGCCAGAAGCCTATAAAATATTGTATATAAAGTGCTGGTGGGCACTTAAAAATGGATCCTGCATTATTCCACAACCTTAAAATAGATTTAAAGCAGGCAATCTTCAAATGCTGCAGTACAACCATTTGACTGTATTCATTCTCTCCTTGTACACCAACCCCCTTTATATATTTTTCTGTCCTTTTCATGTTTTTGCTTCTGTTATTTCTCCAGTGTTCTTCCTTTTATTTTCTTTGGCCATTCCCGACAGCACTGCATTGCTGTTAATTTCTTGTTCTTCAGATGCTTGTCCCCCATTTAGTTTTTGTGGTGTGTTTATGCTTATCAAATACTTTATTTTTCCCATACCAGACAGGTGGGGGTGAGACTGCAGGCCCATTAAATGTGAATAAATAAATGCACAAATTATATCTGCTTGTGTTTGTTAACTTTGTGAACATTGTTAAGACTAAGTCCATGTGATAGCACTTTTTATTTGTTGACTTGTGATTGTGCTGTACTGTGTGGATGCAAGTGAGAGCAAATCATAGGTGAAGATTGCAGGTACCTACCCGAGTTTGACTATTTAAGATTTCAGTTGGTTTTGAAAAGATTGTTTTCTTTCTGTTTGTAGAGCTTATACACAACACAGCGTTTCTTCTTTGAATACAGGTGATTCCATAAATACCCAGAAAAACCTTGAAGAGGAGGTGACAGAGAAAAAAGAGAAAAAGTCTGAAGCGTTGAACATCAGAGGTAGGGGGTTCTCTAAAATTAAGGGACCACCTTTAGAGATGATGGTTTCTGCACATGCTTGTACCAGATTTTAAGAACATGGTGGAAATATGGCAGGTTTTTAAACTATTGACCAAATAAAGTAATGCGGTTCAACTATACTTAAACACAGCCAGGTAGAGCCTGTGAAAGTAAATTATTAGAAGATTATATTTTCACAGGCATAGCCATTGGATAAATTGTTGTTGTTAGTATTATTATTAGGTGGCTTATGTGGCTCCATTTCACCCTCACAATAACGCTGTGAGGTAGGTTGAGTTGAGAGCTTGTGACTAGTCCAAAGTGACCCAGTGAACTTCTGGGTCTCGTGGGAACTAGAATCTGGATTTCTTTGGTCTTCAGCTCCTCTCTTCATCATACCACACTGGCTCCATGTGTGCAAAGATCATGCACATGTCTGTTTTACCATATGCCGATGTAGTGGGAAATCAAGGTTTTCCAAAGTGTTAACATATGACAAAAAAATATGTGCCATTTTCACACATGATGGGCACAGTGCACAGTTTTCCACTTAGACTGTTGTACATGTGTGTAGATTTTTTGTTTGTTTGTTTTAAGCCATCCAGAGACTTTAGTATAAGGCGGCATATAAAAACTTTAAATCAAATAAATAAATCAAATGGTGCACGTTACTAGGCTCTTGTTAACTTACTTTTTAATTCTTAGAGTTGAAAGCCACAAATGTCTCCTTTGTGTAACCAAATACATCTCGGTTTAGGTGATCGCATATTCCAATGAAATCTGGTTATTTAATATCCTCTTTATTAAAAATGGTTTCAGAAGTTTTGATTCAGCTTAATCTAGTTTGTAGCTACTGCCTTGGAATTCTCAGACCCTAAAGGGATTGTTTCTTTTGTCTTTTTCCAGGTGTTCTTTTGCATGTGATGGGAGATGCCCTTGGCTCAGTTATTGTTGTAGTAGCAGCTTCAATATTCTATGTGCTTCCTCTGGAAGAGAATGAGCCATGTAACTGGGAATGCTACATTGATCCCAGCTTAACCATAGTTATGGTGTTCATCATACTATCTTCAGCTTTCCCGCTTATCAAGGAGACAGCCACCATCTTGCTGCAGATGGTTCCCAAGAGTGTTAATATGCAAATACTGAGTAAGCTGCATTTTACCTTTGAAGTGCTTAAGGGCAGTGTTATTTCTGGAATTGTAGCTGGGGATTATACACTCACCTCCAGTTACATTCTCAAGAGCTTTGAGAAACTGAGTCACATGGTTGTGTACTAGCAACTTGACTCAAATCTTGGTGGATTAGTGAAAGCATGCACTTTAAGAATGTGGTATTTTATAATATGTGCAAAATAGGTCATGAACTTCTGATTTCTGGAATCACCACACACATCTAGAAGTGGGTGACCATTTGTTACTAGAAAGTAGATCAGTTAAACTGTTTTGCCTTATGGAACATGAACATGCCTTATGGCTGTCACACAATGGTTGATTGGGTCATCATTTATTTTTGAATAAATAAAAACTTGTGAGATAACTCTTGAGTCCCAAAGAGATAACTCCAAATTGCACATGTGGACTCACTGTGCATTTTGTATGAAATAGAGTTCTTCTGTATTCCTGGGGAATATTCTCCAGTGAGGAGCTGGCAAAAACAATACAAAACTTGGCACCACCAAAGCTGCTGTTGATTTTTTCAGCCCTTTGGTGTGGGCTTCTAGTCATTTAAATATTTAATGTTGGTTCTAAAGCATGATGATGTTTGTACCTAATCCATATGGGCAACACCATTTAGCCTGCTCAATTTTTAAAATCTCTCATTTGAGTCAATCTTTTCAGAACTTGTTTTCTGCCTCACCATTTTTTTCCTTTATGGTGGAGAACTGAGACTTCTGTAAAGGTCAGGATAAAAATGCTTTAAATAAAATAAACTTCATTAATGTCCTAGCCCAGACAAACTCAGCCTAGGTGGTGGTTCTGTTTCTTCCAGTGATGGTGCTGGTGATTGGCAGGAGCTGTTCTAGTAGGTCGAATCAGTGACTCTTTATTTTCACAGTGGAAGCTATTGCAATGCCAGCAACAGGCTGATAACATTGGAAGAAAAGTATGTGCATGGCTATTGCTAAGGCTGCTGTGCCACGTTTCAGCACCACACCTTACAGTGTTGCCCAGAACAAAACAATCCAGGATTGGAGGCCTGTCCCTGTGAAATGGATTAGTTCTAAAAGTGTCCTCTGCTTTCTGAGTGTCTGCTACACCTAGTTGATAATAACATTAATGTTGACACTAGGTCCTCACTTAGATTGAACTGAATGTTATCTTCTTTCTCTTCTTTTCTCTAGCAAACAAACTGTTAGATGTGCCAGGGGTTAGCAGCATTCATGAGTTGCACATCTGGGAGCTTGTCAAAGGGAAGAACATTGCCACCCTCCATGTGAAGTGTCACACTAATACTGATTACCAGGTGGCTTCTTTCAAACTGAGGGAGATGTTCCATGAAGCAGGAGTCCATTCGGTGACCATCCAGCCAGAGTTCATTGACCACAAGAGTCCAGAGATCCTGTGCAGTTCCCCGTGTGTCTCGAAAACTTGTGATGCCCAGTTATGTTGCAGCCAGCAAGAAGCATTCCTCGCTCGGGCGAGTTACTTCCCTGAGCCAAACGGCGGCCTTTCCCCAACTCTGCAAAAACTCTTCCATAGAAATGATGTTGTGGAAATTCCCATTGAACCCATGTGGGCTGAAGATGTAAAGAAAAAGAACAGTTCCCCAAAAGATAGTTATAAAGAAACAGGCAACACCAAACCATGTAAAAACAGCACACATTTTTAAACCTTTGGCCTGTGCTTTGTAACTTTCAGCATCAAGGACAAAGCCTTCCTTAGCTAAAAAGCATGTAACTATTTGGCAAGTACTTGCCATGGTCCCATTTGACAGATGGGTACCAAACACTGCACCTAAAGAAAGTGTTCTTGGCTTGTATCCAGAGGTCCATCTGTGCAAGTAGCATGCCCTTGCAGTCATGCAGGGCAAGTCATAGCTTTCTTTCTTCCCTGTCTTTAGCTCTGCGCCCCTAAAAAGGGGGATTCTCTGCCCCATGTGGGCAAAGTGCCTTCTGTGCACACAGCAGAATCTTTGAATGCAAATCCTTGTCTGGAAGCAATTTTTCTTGCATTCACCAATGCACCTATTGCACTTTGACACTTAATTCCTTGACCCTCTAGGTGCAGCTTTGTATCAGAAAAATATGTCAGTGTATGCATCTCTAGGGATAAATATGTGACCAAACACTGGAATTTCCCTTGGGTCTTATTTACTGAAGTATGATTGAAGGTACTGTATCATCATAGAGGAGTGAAAGTAGGTAGGAATTTCACTAATCTTTAACAAACAAACCTCTATTTACTTGAAAGCAAAAATAGGGAGGGCATGGGGCCCTTTGAGTCAGGGTCTTTGAAATTGCTTAGAGCTTTGGGTATTGAGCTATATGGAAAAACAGTCAATGCAAGTATTGTTTAACATTCCCAGTCAGAACCACAAACATTTGAGAATGAAGGTTGGCTCCTGAAAATGGTTTGAATTAATGGGGTGAGATCAGTCAGCACAGCGACTTAGGAGCCATTCAACACACAACCTTTTGCATGGTTAGCCTCACAAAAACAGAACAATACCGTGTTGCAGAATGTCATTGAATTTATTATTTTTTCTTACTGCCTAAATTCCCTACTTTCTATCACAGAGCAGGTACTTGACAAATTTGATCCAAGAAGCGTATTTCATATGAATAGGAATTTATGTGAGTCCATCAACATCTGTGATATTCATTTGAAAGTATTCTAGAAGTAAGGCTCTGCTAGACACTTGCCTCTGAACACAATGGGATTTACTTCTGAGTAAATTTTTATAGGATTGTGCTGCACGTATACCTATCCATGAGCACTTAGAATTCTGTTATGTCCCTACATTATCCTTTTAAATATGAAGCTATTTGATGTTATATTTACTAAAACGATGACACTTTTTTCTAGTTGTCTCTAGAATTTAGTTTTTTCTAATTTCTTTCTTACAAATATGAGATGGATCAATTCCATAAAGGAAGCCACAGTCTGTAGTTTACAAGATCTGACCAGGCCTGCCCAGGACAGGACATTTTGAAGGACACCCCTTCATAGGGTAGTTGTAAGTCAAAGATGATTTGACAGCACATAACCAATTTCTAATTTCTTTGTAGAACTTATTTTGAAGGGCATTTTTCCCCCTTAGCCCTTTTTGCAACTCAGTTCTAAACATTTTATTTAACAGTAAGACCAGTTGATTTCTTACTATTGGCTTGCATCTGGACAGTATGCAATATGAAGTATTCTTTAAGAATACTAAGAGTCTACAGTGTTACCATACTTTCCATTAGTCCTGTGTGAGGGTTAGCAGCTAAGGAGTTTTAGACGAGTTACTAACCTGAAGAAAGACATGGGGTAGATGATATACCATGACAGTTGTCATATACAGCTTTTCCTTATATACCTGCCTGTCCCCTAAGATCCAGGTCTGAGGTATTTCTTTGGGAGCCTTCATTGAAGGAGATCAGAGTAGTGGCTACCCAGAGAAGGGCCTTTTCTGTGGTGGTGCTCCGCCTTTGGAACCTGTCCCAGGGAGGTGCTCCAGGCAGTGGTGACCCTTTATTCATTTTGGTGTCAAGTCAAAACTTTTTTATTTTCCCTGTATTTTAAGAATTGTGATTTAATACTGGTTTTATTAGATTTATATTCTATTGTATGTTTCCACTATTGCTTTGTATTGTTGTCCATGACTCTTGTAAAGAACAGGATAAAAATGCTTCCAACAAATAAAAAATAATACTGCAAATTATGATTGCCCATCAAGATGACACAGCTTCATGGTATACCTAAGGTATGCCATAGGCCTTCTATTGACCTTTGAGTATGACTGAATTTCCCACCACCTAAAACCTTTATACACAAAATGTATGACATATTTAGTTAATATCTCTTTTGCCTGATTTATTGTTTCCAACTTGCTATGATAGATGCTCAAGGTGAAAATGTGGAGGCTTTAAATCCTTGAGAGAGAACAATTGAAAAACCTGCAAGATTGTAGAACTGTCCTGAGATGTTTGTAGTGGACAGTATATAACAGCTATAAATAAAAATAAATAAAATAAGAATCTTAACTGAGATACTCTATAGTGCCTGAGAAATACTATGGCCACAATCCAAAACAGTAGCATGCTTGACAGTGTGTTTGTCAGTTGGGTGTCTTGGGCTGAAGACATAAGATGGATGAGCTGACAATAAGTGATGAATATCCTCTTTGGAATGTACTCTCTTCACTTATATAAAGATTTTGTTACAACTTCTTGTGAAGTTATTCCTTGCCTTCTGTGGCTACAGTATAAGAATTCCCTGGAACAGAATTCTGTTTGGAAGAGATGTACCAGGTGCTTTTAAGAAACGAACATCAGTGCAAGTTTTCTTGTGCATTTTATTGGTTGGAAAAAGCTGTAAAGAAGTCTGACTGTGAATAAACAAAATGTTTTTATGTCAAAAATTGTGTCAACTTGCTGTTTGTGAAACACCATATCCTAAGGGTTGAGTCCCAGTTTATATTTTGTGCTTAGGGATGTAAGCAAGTATGAAATACCTGACCTTTTCACATGTGGAAATTGTGGTCCCTGCAGCTTCAGACTGCTCTGAAGGGATCCAGCCTTCAACTAGTATTGAAAGGCAATATGTGGCATTTGTTCATATGCGTTGGATGTCTTACGAGGCATGTTTATGTTGGATTCTGGTAGATAAGTTATCTTCCAAAGTTACTGCTTACCAGAAGTGGGTTGAACCACTGCTTGGCATGCAAGAGGTCCCAGGTTTGATCCCAAGCAGTTCCTGTTGAAAGGATCAAGTAGGAGGCAGCGCCTTGGACAGCTGCTGCTGGTCAGAGTAAACAACAAAGGGACAAATGGATGAATCATCTGGTATACAGTAAGATGGTTTGGGAAAAAGTGTCTCCTGGGATTGTCTAGTGTCTCAAAGGGTAAGATAAAAAGCACGGTCCTCAGCTGGGTGTATTGGAAGTTGTCCTAGCCAGAAGGAGCAGCCAATTTTAGAAAAATATAAAGCGGGGAGCTAATTACAAGTGATGCTTTTGTACATGGCTTGCCTAAATGAGAGTTTTACCTGCCTCTCAGTATCAATTTTTCAAGCATGGCTGTAAAAACTGGCTTGCCCAAACCCATTCTGGTGCTCTCTGCCTGAGAAAAGAAAGTGTGTGTGGGTGGGATTCTTGGAATGGTCTGTATGGCTCCGGACAGAGCCTGGGAAACCATGCTCAGAGCTCCTGCTTGTTCCCTAGGTTGCTTTAGGAACCGGGTTTGAATAGGTGAGGACCCCAGATCCTGTTCAGAGATGTTTTTTTTCTTATTCTCAGGTAACTAGAGTGAGAGATGTCAGGATCTTTCAGAAAGAGAAGCTTAGAGATGAAACACAGAATTCCTAGGTGGCTGTGTGGTTTGAGAACTGGGTATTTAGGTGGAGTGTTGTTTTTATTTAACCGGAGAAGGCACCAAGCCTCTGAAACATGCTAGGGCAGGGAGCTGGATTTGAAAGAGGTGTGTGTGTGTGTGTGTGTGTGTGTGTGTGTGTGTGTGAGAGAGAGAGAGAGAGAGAGAGAGAGAGCGCTGTGTGTGAGTGGTATGGTCATGTGACCTTTGGGTCCAAAAGGTGGTGCCTCTCTGATTTAAGCCATAAGAAAAACAGCTTGCGGTATTCAGTGAAAATCTTAGCCAAAGGATTCCCTAAAGAATTTTGCATATGTTGGGAACACAGCTTTGGGTTGCAGTCCTATGCATACTCACCTGGGAAATCCACAGAATTCCATGAGATCTACTTTATTTATTTAAAAAATGTAACCTACTCTGCCTACTAGGCACCTAGGGCAATTTAGGATAAAAAGAGGATTAAAACATTTCATAAAATCAAGAATTACAGGAGCAACAATTATACAATAAAACTCGGGAGTAGCATTACAATTGAAATTAAAAGGTAACAAAACTTTACACAGAATGAAAAGCCCAACAGAGCAGAAGAGTCTTTACTTGAAGAAGCTGATCTCTCATTGCTTGGGAAGAGGCTCCACACTGAGGTACTGCTATTAAAAAGACCCTGGCATGAATATTCACCAGACTAGCCTCTAAGATGGCAGAACAGGTCTCATGAACTTTGTAAATTATGGGCATGTGCATATGAAAAAGGACTAGTCCTTCAGATAACATGGGCCCAAACCATTTAGGGCTTTGTAGCTCAACACCAGCACGTTCAATTGTGCCTGGAAATAAACTGGAAGGCAGTGAAGTTCTTTGAAGACCAGTGCAATGAGATCAACAAAATGTATATCTATTTAGGAGCCATATTTTGTTCTAGCTGTAGTTGTCAAACAATGATGGCAGGCAATATTAGATGTTATTTGCCATAGTCATCGTTGTTGCTGCTGTTATTTTCCTTTTATTTCTGTGAGCCAGTGAAACATAGGCTGGCTTGAGATGTAGGTTGGATTGGGAGTCAGTGACAGTGGCCCAAAGCTACCCAGTTGGCTCCATGGCTGAGTGCAGCCTAGAACCCAGATGACCTGAGTCCTAGTCCGTGCTCTTAACCACTACACCATGCTGACTCCCATTACCATTAGCAATGGGATTCTCCATTAAATGAGAATTAGATAAACAAATTTCTCACTTGTTTCTCAGAGGTTTTCAGGACTAGACTTTGGGCTATGCTCAGGAAGAATGAAGAGGGAAATGTCTAGGAAGGAGAAGGGCAGACTTT